CGGGGGCTGCGAGCAGAGCCCCAGCCCAGTGTGCGTACCGGGAGGAGCAGACCTCACAGAGGGGCGGCTGGGCTGGCGTCCTCTGGAGAAGGATCAGGTGGGGTGCCGTCTGCTGGGGGCTTCTTGGAGGCCGGGAGCTTGAGTTTCTATGCAGGAGGCGCCAGTCATGCTGGGAAGGCTGTTTCCTGGCCGGGTGGGGGCCGCGGACGCATCCGTGAACCCCAGGCAGCCCGCCGGTGGGGAGCGCACAGCCAGGACCTGGAGCCCCGCGGTTCCCTCTGGGAGGAACTGCGGTTTCACCACTCGTCCCGGGTGTGCGTCCCCCCATGGCAGGGACCCTCCTGTCACTCTTCTCTCCACACCACCCCTGTCCCGGGCCCCCAGCAGCGTGTCCTCCACGCCCTCCATCGTGCACTGTGCTTTCCTGTGTGGCAGAGGCCCCTGGGCCCCAGCCGGCTGTCGCTTGTGTCCACGGGGCTCCTTTTTGGGGCTGAGCAGCGCCCTGCAGTACAGCTGGGCCATTGCTGTGACCATCTGCCTGGACTGAAGGACCTCTGGGCCGACGCCACATCTCGGGCTCTGGGAACGCTGCTCTGATGGTCACCCGTGTGCTGGCGTGGTCATCGGTGTTGGCCCAGTGCGCAGTTCGGGAGCTCGTGGGTCCGGGGCCGCTGCGCCGGCGAGGCCGGGGGCCGTGCGCACGACGAAGCTTGGTCTTGGGAGCATCCTGTACCTTGGCTTGAGGGGACCTTGCTTTCCTCCTTGCTGGGCAGCCGTCGAGGGCTCTGAGCCAGAAAGGCACGTGGGACCAGGTCTCTGCGGGGGAGTGTGACTGAGGGTCAGGCAGGTTGAGTTGGAGGCTGGAGGCGGAGGGCAAGGGCCCCACGTGTGTCTGCAGGAGAGAGCCCCGAGGGAGGCGAGGAGGGCAGGGGTGGCCGGGATCCAGGGGCCGGGTGAGCGGCTGCTTGCCGGGGGGCCCAGCCATAAGGTCCAGGCAGGCCTTGTCCCTGAGACCCTTCTGGGCAGGTGGACACTGGGTCACGTGTGTGGCGGTTCCCGGGGCCAGGGACCTGTCACAGGCCTGAGTCCCAGCTCCCAGATGACTGATATGGCCGTGGTTCAGCTGGCCCGGGAAGCAGGGCATCTGGAAAACTAACCTGGGTTGCTCTGGCCGACTCAGACTTGCGCTGAGCCCAGTCTCCCTGTCTCCCTCCCTCCCTCCCTCCCTCCCTCCCTGTCTCCCTGTCTCCCTCCCTGTCTCCCTGTCTCCCTCCCTCCCTGTCTCCCTCCCTGTTTCCCTCCCTCCCTCCCTCCCTCCCTGTCTCCCTCCCTGTTTCCCTCCCTCCCTGTCTCCCTCCCTCCCTCCCTCCCTGTTTCCCTCCTTCCCTCCCTGTCTCCCTGTCTCCCTCCCTCCCTCCCTCCCGGATGCTGCGATGGCCCAGCGCCTCGTGGGCAGCAGGCCTGGCCTGTGGCAGGGTGGAGGCCCCCTTGCCCACCACGCCGCTGCACCTGGCCTTGACGTCGGCCCGGAGCATACGTGAGACGTGCTTCTCTCCTCCAGGGTGGCACCTCCCTGCCTCCGCCACCTCCACACTCTCCCTTCTCTGTCCTTCCCGGCAAAGTGGTGGCTGCCCCGGGCAGGGTCACTGATCAGACCGAGACAGGGTGCCCGGTGTGCCCGCTGGCTTCCTCCTTCCCCTCCCGCTTGATCGATATTGGATTGACATGAGTGTCCTGCGAGGTCATGGGGTGTGACCCGCTGATTTGATACGTGGAGGTACCGTGGGATGATGGCCTCCGTTAGGCAGCACACCCGTCACCTCCCACGGCCCCGCTGTGTGTCTCCGTTTTGGTTCTTCCGCAGGCCCGTCGTGGCGGTGGTCTTTGCTGTGGCTACTGTGCTGCGTGGGGGCCTTTGCAGACCAGACGCTGGGTGACCTCGGCCATGCCCCTTGTCCAGGCCCCCCTGACATCTCCAGAGGCTGACCCCGCATTTCAGGCTTCAGTTTTAGGGGAGTGCCCCAGACGCCCGTTTTCCTTTGACCCACTCTCTGGCCCGGCGGGGGTCACTTCACAGACGTGCCTCCCACACCTTCCATCGCCTCCTGGGGCCCAGGGCAGGCGTCACCCTGACTGACACCGCAGCGTGCGCGTGTGCGACCCCTCCGCGGGCGCGCCCTGCCCTGGAGGGCTCCAGCGGGGGCTGCTTCTCTCCCTAAGGTTTATTTTTCTGAGAGAGCAGCTCACACACGTGAGGGTGGGGGGCAGACGGAGAGACAGAAGCCCAAGCTGACTCCGCCCAGAGCGCAGATCCTGATGCGGGGCTGGATCTTCGACCCTGAGATCACGACCTGAGCCGAAACCAAGAGTTGAGCTTAACCAGTGGTGCCTCCCAGTTCCTTTTTGAAAAGCGGGGGTGAGGCCAGTCCCTTTCTCACCAGGCGTGCTCGCAGACCCTCTTCGGTGGGTCTTCCCCACCCCCCGGGGTGAGAGCCGTGGCCTGCGTTTCCCAGGGGGCAAGTGGCCTCCGCCTGGGACCTGCCCCGTCTCCCCCTTGGGCTGACCCGTGGGCTGCGTCTCGGGGTTTGGCTCGCGTGTGTGCATCAGTTCGGCCGTTGTCTGCGAGGGACGCGGCCTGATGGACCAGCGGGGTGGTTTCCTTTCTGTAACAGAGTTTTGTCGAAAACGGGTTCGAACCCTCGGCCATCCTGCCTCGCAGAGGACCCTGGACGGTATCTGGGGACGTCTGTGTTTGGCACACCAGTGGTGCTCCTGGCATCCTGGGCTGGGGCTGGGGACGCTGCTCAGCCCCTCACAGTACCTGGGACGCTCCGCCCCACCCCCAGAAGAATGACTGTGCCTGGTGTCAGCAGCGCCAAGAGGGACAGATCCAGGGGCACAGACCTGGGTCAGGAGGAAACTGCATTGGAAATTGCATTCCTGGCGTCCCCACAGCGTGGGTCCCTCTGGGGATATGTGGGGTCTTGCGCACGCCCCTTCCACTTCCTCCTGTCCCTGGAACTCTCAGGGGTGTCGGTCAGAGTGAGCAGGTGGCCTGTGTCGCCTGGAGAGCAGAGGTGAGTTGTCTGACGTAGGACGGACGGGGGATGGCATGAAGGCAGCCACCTTCCTTGATGATGGACCCGCAGTCATCGTCCTTATCCCGGGAAGGCCCCGAGGCAGTTGGTGAAAGTACCAGAGAGGCGCGGGCGCGGCAGCCCAGGCCCCTGGGGCTCAGGTCTCCCCGAGTGTGGTCGGTCCCTCGGGTGAGGGCTGAGTGCTTCCCGGCTGCGGGACAGGGGGACACGTGGGGCCCACGGAACTGGTCTGTCCCAGAGGCCGTGGTCTGTCGAGCAGGCCAGCGGCAGACGCCTGCAGACGGGCTTCCCCCTCGGGCCACGGTCACAACTCCAGGGGCCTGGGAGGGCTGCCTGCCCGCGGGGCGCAGGGGCCTTCCGGAGTGCAGGCCACGTCATGGGTGTGGGAGCCGGTGGCAGCCACACGGGGATCCTGCTCGCCCTGCGTGGATGTGGGCAGCCGCGGGGCTGATGGGGGCAGAGGGGTGGAAGGAAGCCCAGGCAACAGGTGGGGTGAGGCAGGGGCTTCTGAGCCTGTGAGCAAGGGGGTCCGGGCGGCCGTCGGAGGCCACGTGCGCTTGGACATTGGACATTGTCTTCCCGCTCTGCGGTCACGTCACTCCCCAGCTTGGCCTCCCGCGGCGGACAGTCTCCGAGGGTCCTGGGTCTGGGCCACCCGGGCTCCGGGTCCCTCACGAGGTTGGAGTAGCCGCAGCCCCTGTCCCCAGCGCTGCTCCAGTCCTCACGGCCTGGCGGCTGCCCTTTCCCATACCCTCTGCCCGTGGTGCCGGACAACGTGACGCAAGCCGCTGTGCCTCTTGTGACCCAGTCTCGGAAGCGACACCCTGTCGTCTGTCCCGCTCTGCCAGCTGGAAGCAAGTCTAGGAGTCCAGCCCGCCCTCCCGCAGGGGGTCTGTCTCCACCCCCTGAGGGGGCGGGGCCCAGGTGTGTGGCTTGGAGGACCCTGTGCCACTTGGCCCCTGGACCAGGGTGGGGGAGAGGCTGCCGCAGGAGGGGCCGCTGGGCCACGTCGTGCGGGAGCGGGAGTGGAGCAGAGCGTGCGGCTCAAGGCGCCGGCGGGGCTGGGGTGAGGGCACATGGCCGGGTGGCCACTTTCCAGGTGGCCTTCCCACCTGTTGGCTGATCCTCTGACCCCTGGAGGCTGAGGTGGGGGTCAGCGTGCAGCCTGGAAGAGCCCGGTGAGCCCCGCACCCCTCACGCCTGCAGAGGGAGGGGGTCCGACACCGTGTGCACCCGGCGGGCGGGAGGGAGCAGACGTTGGGCTCCGTGCATGGGCTGCGGGCCTGGGACTCGTCCGGGTGGGTGGGTCTGTGGGGTCTCAGCTAACGGGGAGGGACAGATTCTGTCCTCAGACCGCCCTGGCTTCCGTGCAGACACTAAACTCTTGCCCCAAAGTGAAGGTTACCCTCGGGCCCGGATGAGGAGTGTGGTTGGGGTCCACGGGGACGTTGTCAGACTGGACGTGCCATCTTCTGTGGGTGTGGACAGGTCCTGCGGGGCCAGTCGGCCTGACTGGTTGAGGAGGCCGCGGCGCCTGGCGGAGACGCACGGCCGTACCTCACGGCGGCCTCTGGGGCGCTGAGTGCGTGTGGAGGCCCGTCGTGTGCCGTGTGACCGGGCTGGATGCCTGGGGTACCTGCCTGCTCCGCACCTCGGTGCTGGGGGCCCTGTGGACACCCCCTGCCTACGCTGGGCCTCGGTTTCCCGCTGGATCAAAGGGCCGTACCTTCGGGGTGTGACCAGGCTGCCGTAGGGACGCCCCGTGCCAAGCGGCCGCTGCTGGCCAAGGGTGCTCTGCGGCCCCCTGAGCGCCAAGTGCCCGGGCTCCGACCGCCGGTGACCCTGCTCCGTGAGGGGGCGGGGGCGGGCCCGGGCCTGGTGCTCACACGGCCTTGTCCGCAGGCACCGGCGAGAGCGGGAAGAGCACGTTCATCAAGCAGATGCGCATCATCCACGGGGCGGGCTACTCGGAGGAGGACAAGCGGGGCTTCACCAAGCTCGTGTACCAGAACATCTTCACGGCCATGCAGGCCATGATCCGCGCCATGGAGACCCTGAAGATCCTGTACAAGTACGAGCAGAACAAGGTGAGGCCTGGGGGCCGCCCTGCACCTGCCCGCCCGCCGGCACCTGCCTTCCCCACCACACCTCGGTGCCCCCTGCGGGCAGCCCTCGGCGCCGTGTCTGCCTCCCGGTGGGCGGGGCCTCTCCCTGCCTGTTTCCAGAGTAACGGCTCCTCGAGACCAGAGTCACTCACGGGGCAGGTCTCCCCGTAGTGTGTAGTTCCCAGCTTTCTGACACACACAGCTGTGCAGCCATCACCTCTGTCTAGTTCCAGAACATTCCATCACCGCCAGGCACCCCGGTCCCCGTCAGCTGTCAACGCCCCTCCCCCAGCCCCCAGCCCCCATGAGCCCCTTCCCGTCCGTGGAGGGGCCTGGTCAGGGCATGTCACACGCGTGGACTCACACCCCGTGTCGCCTCCTGCGTCTGGTCCCCTCCCTGCATGTCGTGGGCTCAGGGCCCGTCCCCGGGGCCGTGCGGGGGCCTCGCTCCTGCTCCGGCCGTTCTCACACGTCTGTCGGTCCGGCGCCTGAGGGCTGCGTCACGCTCTGTGTGCGGGTGCACGCGCTGTGCAAATCCCCTCGCCCGCGGAGGGGCGCCTGGGTTTCCATGTTTGGCTCCTTGGAAGCTGCCGCGGTGACGTTCACGTGCAGGCATCTGTGTGCACCCCTGTCGTCACTGCCCCGGCTGTGTCCCGGGAGACGGGGACTCGGGGCAGCGGGGGGTCTGCCCTTGTGAGGAGCTGCTGGCCCCTCCGGGCAGCATGTCCCAGCTGTGCGGTGGTGGACTCTCGCCGGTGGCCCCTCTGGGCTTGGCTTTTGTAGGTCTGATTTTGGGGGTTTCTTCAGCCCTGGAGGTTTGCCCTGGGCTGACGTGAGGTGCGGGAGTCATACTTACACGGGGCACGTTCAGTGAATCCGTTCTCTCTCAGGCTTAAGAAGGGCCGTCAGCCAGGCTGCTGCTACGTTTCCACTTGGCACCTTCCTCCCTCTGTCCCCGGTTCACAGATGACCAGGGACCCCCAGCGGGGCCCGGTGTTGGGTTGGGTGGCCCTCTGGGGCGGGGTTTGGGTAGCGTGCTCAGCTGAGGTCCGCTGCAGCGTCCGACCGCAGGCCGGTGTTTGGACCGTCCGTGTCCCTCCGTGCCTAGCAGCGGCCGCCCACCGCACCCTCTTTTGGTACACACAGTTTTGTTGCTGCACGTGGCGCTTGCTCCTCGATGTGTCGTCCTTGATGGCTTTGGGTACAGGGACAGAGATGGGGCCACAAAGCTGAAGGCACCGTCCTCTGGGATGTTTGAGGCTGTCACACGTCGACAGCCGGGGGTGTTTTCCGGGGCCGGTGTCGGCCTTCGCAGGTCCAGACTATGGGGCAGGTGAGGGCTGAGGCCACGGCTGTGGGGCACCGTGCAGGGCATCTCTCCTGGCTTTCAGAGTGCGGGCTAGGGCTCCCCCACTCCCCATTTCGGCTTCTGCCCAGGTGTGTCTTCCCCAGACCCTCCGCTGTGGCCGGCTGTGTGGGCTGGGCCGTCCTGTCCCAACAGGCATGTGGACAAGCGGGGTCTCCCGAGTCTCGAGCCCCGGAGGCTCCCCGGCCAGCGCCCTGCCCCCGCCCCCACTCCCTTCAGAGGCTGCTGGGGTTTGAGGAGCCGTGTGTGGGGGGTAGGGTGCAGGCCCGACAGACGTCGGAGGTGATCCCGTCGCCTCACCTGTGAAACGGGGACGGGGCTGCTGCGGGGGTTGGGTTCGTTGCTCTGTCTGTTCTCTTTTGGGTCTGACCCTCGGTCACTTTTCGCAGAGTCTGCTTCTTCGTCTACGTGGTTCCTCCCATGCCACCTGCTGCCCCCACACTGGGGCACACGTGTGGGGCATACAGCCACGTGGCCTGGTGCCAGGAGCCACCTCACTCCCGGGCTCTCGCACGGGGACCTCCCACTGAGGGACAGCCCCTGCGGCTCCCCCTTGCTCTGTGCCCACATGTGTCCGTGCTTCTCTGGGGCGGAGGTCCCCACTTGGTCGGGTGCCCCGGGGGGCCCGGGCGCCGGCAAGCCCACGGCTCTCCCTCCTGCCCCACAGGCCAATGCGCTCTTGATCCGCGAGGTGGACGTGGAGAAGGTGACGACGTTCGAGCACCGCTATGTGCACGCCATCAAGACCCTGTGGGACGACCCTGGCATCCAGGAGTGCTATGACCGCAGGCGGGAATACCAGCTCTCCGACTCCGCCAAGTAGTGAGTAGGCCGTGTGGGGTTCTCGGGGACGCTGCTCAGGGCCAGGGGGCCGGGCAGGCTTGACAGCGTCGTGGGCCGCTCCCTGAGCCCAAGCTGGTGCCGGAGCAGGGACATTCATATGGAGAAGCAAGGCTGCAGCCCGGCCACCCAGCCAGTCCCCTTTCTCCCGCCGCTGCGGCTGTCCTCGGGTAGCCCCATGGGGGTCCCCTAGAGCCAGCCTGACTTCTGTCCCATGAGAGCTGGGGCGGGGCAGGGAGGCCTCTGCCGGGCCCCAGGTCCACCTTGTCCCGAGTGCACGGGGCTGTTCCGCCCCTGCTGGTGAGGGTCAGCGCTGGGCCCCTTCCTGCTGCTCAGGGACCATGGTGGCCGGGCTGTCCCCCTCCCCCCAACCCCCTGCCTTGCCTGCCAGCCTGTGCAACCCGGTGCCTTCTGTGTCGCAGCTACCTGGCAGACGTGGACCGCATTGCCACCTCGGGCTACCTGCCCACCCAGCAAGACGTGCTTCGGGTCCGTGTGCCCACCACTGGCATCATCGAGTACCCTTTCGACCTGGAGAACATCATCTTCAGGTACCTGCGGCCTGGTGGCCATGCGCTGGGAGGGGGCCGTGTGCCGGGGGGCCGTGCGCCGGGGCTGCTGTGGGTGCCGTGAGCCATGGTGGGGACTGTTCGCATCTGCAGTGGGGACCACGACAGGTTCGCCGGGTTTCGGTCTTTGCTCTTGGGGAGCTTCCGAACCAGGACGGGAGATAGACTCGTGACTGTCACGAGGTTTTGGAGTGAGCCATGTCCCGGAAGCAGTAAGGGCTGTGGCGGTGCTGGCCAGAGCCGGCCTGGAGGGGAGGGCCTTCTGGGGGGCCTCTGTGACGGGCCTGTGGATGGGGCAGGGTGCCGGTGTGTGTCGGTGGGGCAGGGGGTCTGGAGTTGGGCAGGAGCTACAGGTACCACAGGTGGTGGAGGGGGCCTGGGGACCCTTGCAGAGCCAGGTGACGGGCAGTTCCCGGACTCCGGCTCCTGGGCCCATGGGGGTTCCTGGCATATGGGCAGAATGGGGCCCAGTCCTGGCAGGAGGTGTGGCCTGAGTAGACTCGGGGCCATCCTCGAGGACATGAGCCCCGCCATGCAGTGAGGCCACGGAGCTGCTGGGTGGTGAGGGTGAGCGCGTGTCGGCTGGGGCCGCCACCGCTGATGACCACAGATGGGCGTTTTGAAGCCACAGGCATTTCTGTGGTCCCAGCGTCAGAAGCCGAGGATCAGGGCATGGGCGGGGCCAGTTGCTTCTGAGGCGGTGAGGGGATGTCTCCCGGCTCCCCGTGCCTCCCGGCTCCCCGGGGTCGTCAGCCATCCTCCACGTCCCTTGCCCCATCCCTGCCCTTACGGTCACACGGCCTGTGCTTGTGCGTCCGTGTCCGGGATCCCCCTGGTGACGGCATGGGGCCGCCCCGCTCTAACATGGTGTCGTTTAACTGATGACATCTGCAGGGACTCGGCTCCCAAGTCAGTCCGGCCCCGGGTTTTGGGGGCACTGAGTTGGGAGGAAACGTTTGAGCCCGGTTCCCCGAGGCCCAGGCGGGGCAGGTGCTGTCTGCCCGCTGGGAGGGCCCCGCAGCACCCCATCATGGTGCCCCCGCTTCCCTGGTTAGGCTCCCACTGGGGAAGGAGTTGGTGCTCCTGGAGCAGGGGTCCCAGAGGGGTGGGCAGCTGTGGCAGCTGTTGTTGGCCATGGTCTTCTGCCCTGTGGCCTCGGAGCGCCGGCTCTGGGGAGCACTGAGGAGCCTTTGGCCTGAGACACCCCCCACGACAGGTGCCCCTTTGGCCCTCTGCGCCCTCCCTCACTGGCTGGGCCTCTGCCAGAGCCCTGTGTGGGTCCCTGGAGCCTTGGAAGCCCTAAGCCCCTGCCCTATGCGGGTCTGATGCACATTTTCGTGGTGAGGATTCAAGGTTTGGGTTTTCTTTCTTGTCTAATTGGGTCTTTGGTGGGCCTGCCACCTCTGAATTCGGAGCTGAGGCCTGTGGGGCACAGGCTGGGGCTTGGGCCGAGCACGCCCCCGGCCCCCATGTGGGCTCTCCCCCGGCCTCACCCTGACTGTGGCGCCTCCTCTGCCTGCTGGTCCTCTGCCCGGAGTGCCCGGCCCCCGCCCTTCCCCTCTGTGAGCTCAGGCTGTGCGTGTCACCTCCTCCCAGCGGGATTTCCCTGCTGCCCCTCCCCGGTCTGCACTTGGCTCTGTCATGGGCCCACACCCTCTGCCACTGCCAGTCCCTTGCCGGCCAGTCCCTTCCTTAGCTGGGCGCCCATGGGGTCCCCTGACCGGAGCGGGATTGGGTCATGGCCCAGCTGCCCTGGTCATGTGAGGAGATGAACCTGGTCCTGGACAGGGGACCTTAATTGGGGAGACATGTGGTCCAGAAAGGACGTGGGCCCAGTGCCTGTCTGCCCCCGTGGCATTCCCCAGACTGGCCACAGCTGCTGCAGTCCTTGTGGCCTCACACGGGGCCCTTGGCCCATCACCACCCTCTCCTGTCGCCACCCTGCTGTCCCTTCAGTGTCATCCTGGCTCGTCCACCGTCCACCTGTGCTTGGTGCGGTCTCCTCGGAGCAAGCTCCGCCAGGCGGCTGCACTTCTGTTGGCCGAGCCCCGGGCGACCCTGATGTCCGCCAACCCCCTACCGTTGGCATGGCCTGGCTGGGGGGACCCCTGCCTCCTGTGGGCCACTGTGCTTGCCTGCTCTTGGCTTCTTTTAAAAAGTAGCGTCTTTCCTCATCGTAGAAAGCCGAGGAACACCCCGGTAGCAGGCGGCAAGCCCCTGCCCCGAGTCTGTGTGGCTCCCGTGCCCCGGCTGCCCCCTCTGCCCGGGAGCCCAGCCTCTGGACTGTCAGGTGGCACGTTCTTTTCGTGCCAGCGGGAGCTGCGACCTGCTGTTGCCCCTGGCAGCAGGGGAAGCGTGTCGCTCTATGGACCACCCCTCAGTGGCGAGGCGGGTCCGGCGTGCGGCATCCACAGTTTGTCGTTCTGCTGCGCTCCACGGACGGTGCTTGGCGAACGGTTGTGCACGTAGCCCAGGCGAGGGGTTGGGTCTCTAGATGTGGGACCTCAGATCCAGGGGTCGGCCTGTATCTGGTCCCCGTAAGCGCCCGGGTTCCCGGGCTCCCCGTCCTGTGACTCTTCGTCAGGCGCAGCTGCTGGGGGCGGCGTGACCTCCTGGCTCTGGCACATGCGGGCACGGGGGCTCTCCTGGGGGCTCCGCCGGCGCTCACAGACTCGGGGGCCCTCCAGGCTCTAGCAGACGCTAGCCTCGTTGGTGGCAGGGGTTGGTCGGGGGGACAGCGGTGCTGAGCCCCCCCGTTTCCTGCAGGATGGTGGACGTGGGGGGACAGCGGTCTGAGCGGAGGAAGTGGATCCACTGCTTCGAGAACGTGACGTCCATCATGTTCCTCGTGGCCCTGAGTGAATACGACCAGGTGCTGGTGGAGTCGGACAACGAGGTGAGGCCCCTCTCCCCGCTGTCCCCGCCATCCCCACCCTGCGGCCCAGGCACCCGTCGTACTCACGCCTTCCCTCCCACAGAACCGCATGGAGGAGAGCAAAGCCCTGTTTCGGACCATCATCACCTACCCCTGGTTCCAGAACTCCTCGGTCATCCTATTCCTCAACAAGAAGGACCTGCTGGAGGACAAGATCCTGCACTCCCACCTGGTCGACTACTTCCCCGAGTTCGACGGTGAGCGGCGCGCCGCAGGGGCCGGGGTGGGGCCAGGCTCGCCGCCCCCTGTGCCCTGTGCTGCTGGTGGGGGGAAGCGGGAGCCTCCAGTGCATCCCGTTTGCTCTCTGGGCCTCGTGTCTTGGTGATTTGGGGATGCGGGCCCTGGCGGAGGCTGGTGGCACGGCCGGTGGGAGCCAGGGAGCCTCCGTGTTCCTCCGCACCTCAGTGCCGCCCCCCACCCAGCCTCGGTGAGTAGAAGGTCTTTGTGTTCCCAGGGGTGTAGCTTCGTGGACACAGCCGCAGGGAGGGGTACAGGGGGCCACTCTGCTCCCAGGTCCCTGCTTGCCCGGAGCCTGAGTGGGGAGGAATGAGGCCCTGGGAATGAGGGGGTGACCCAGGACCCTCTTCCCCTCCGAGTTAGCCTGAGCTCTGACAGAAGCCAGAACAGCAGGGACCATCCCCAGCTCCCTCTCCAGCACTCTTGCTGTGTGGGCCTCGCCGCAGCTGCCTCCCCCATGCAGGGCGGGGAAATGACACGGGGCTCTAGGGCAGTCCGGGCCTGGCCAGTCCAGAGCTTCAGGGACAGGCCCGTGGCCCGATGGCCATGTGCGCAAGGCCAGGGCAGCAGGGGCACGTGGCTCTGTGTGTGCCCGCGTGTGGGCACCTGTGCGTGTTTGGGTGTGGGTGTGGGGGGGCAGCAGTGGGGGGACGGGGGGCTGGGCAGGAAGCTCGCGGCAGTTGGGAGGTGGTAAGGGGTGTCTGTGGGCGGCTGCCGGCTGAGAGGCCGAGGGGCCCCGCGCGGAGGCCGGCCGGCGGTGGCAGAGCAGCTGCCTTGGGAGACAGCAGCTCCCCGCTGGGCCTGGCCATCAGTTCCGGGGCTCCCATGGGGGGCAGGAGGCGACGCCCCTGCTTGGCCAGTGCCCTGTCCGTGCTCGGCGAGTGTCAGTCCACAGACCGCGGGTGTCAGTCCTCGCGCTGCAAGCGTCTGTCCCTGTGTCTGTCCATGTCCAGTGGGTGTCTCTACGCGCCCCCAGCTATCAGTCTGCGCCCTGTGGGTGTCTGCGACCCCCCGGCGGGTACAGGCCGGCCTCCCTCACCAGCCCCTGCCTCCGCTTCCCCAGGGCCACAGCGGGACGCGCAGGCCGCCCGGGAGTTCATCCTGAAGATGTTTGTGGACCTGAATCCCGACAGCGACAAGATCATCTACTCCCACTTCACCTGCGCCACCGACACGGAGAACATCCGCTTCGTGTTCGCGGCCGTCAAGGACACCATCCTGCAGCTCAACCTGAAGGAGTACAACCTGGTCTGAGCCGCCGCGGGGGCCGCCGGCTCCGCTCGCGGAAGAGTTGATTTCGTTTGCATATTTTTAACAAAGGGTTTTTATTTCACAGTTATCAGGGGACCTACGTCTTTCTTTCTATACACCTTGTGCACCTTCTCACCCGTGTCAGCGGCGAGGCCGCCTTTTCCTGGCCTTGACTCGTGGCTCGCTTTTTTCTATTAAAAAAAAAAAAAAAAGAAAAAAAGAAAAAGAAGGAAAAGAAAGAGACAAGACCAACGGAGAAGAGACCCACGAGCGCCGCGCCCCCACTGCAGGCCGCGCCCGGGGCCGGCGCCCCCCATCCCCACCCTGGCGCTCAGCGGGGGACAGAGCCACCCGCCAGCCCGCCCTCCCCTCGCTCCTGGCCCTCACCCCGAGGTCCCAGGGCTGTGACTTCTCTTTCTCTCGCTCCCTAAGTTATTGACGTCCTGGACTCCAAGAAGTGGGGGTGGGCGGCGCCCTCCGCTGCCCGCCCTGGGAAGTGCCTAACCTTTTTTTTTTGGGTGAGGAAATGAAGGCAGCGTGTAGGCTCTTAGGCTCCGTGGTTAAGGAGACATCCTGGGGGACCTGGGGGCCTCCCCTGGGGCCCCAAAGGCTGCTGTCTAGACACCGCCCAGGGAGCCGGACTGGGAGTCGGTTTCGATGTGTTCTGTTTTGAAACCAACTTGGAAGCAGTGGGGGCCGGGGGCTCTTTCAGAATATTCTCAGGTCAGTCCCCGAGCGGCAGAGAAGGGACTTGCCCGTGGCAGTTCCCAGGCACGGCCTCCGGCACAAGCCCTTGCTCCCACTTCTGCCCCCCGAGCCCCCTGCCCCCGGGAGGCAAGCACGCAGCACGACGCGCACTTTGCCCGGAGCCGTGGAGGGCCTGTGGCTGCCGGTGCCGCGGCCCCGTGTGGCTTTCAGGCCTGGCCACGGCCACGGCCACGCACTGAGCCAGAGCCACGGGCCGCCTTGCCTGGGCCCCCTCCTTCTGAGGGGCTCGGAGGGTGGGAACAAGCGGGGGCTGTGTTTGGGGGGGGGCAGTGTTTTTATCCGACGCAGACTGAGCACTACAGTGTTTTTTGTGGGTTTTGTTTTGTTTTGATTTGCACAACGTAGCGGGAACGAGCTGCCAGTGATGCCTTGCCCCCCACATCTGGTCCGGGCCGCCCGCCCACAGGAGAAGCAGCTCGGACAGCAAGCCGGACACCGGGACACCAGGCCTGGCCTCGCTCCCTGCGCTCTCCTGACGCTGTCACAGGAAGGAGGGGGCTGGCAGCGACCGCAGGCAGCTTCTGCAGGGTGGGGCGACGACATTCCTAGTGATCAGCCTTCTCTGGGGACAGTCCTGCACGAGAGGGGGCATGCCAAAGTCCGCAGCGTGTGCCCTGGGTGCTGCTGGGGGGGGCCAGCCCAGGGACTTCCGGGGCCTCGCAGGGTGGGCGTCTCAAGGTCTCAGCGCCTCTCGGGCCCAGATCACAAGGGAGGTGGATTGGGCCTCGGGGGCACAGGGTGTGACTGGGCCAAAGTATTCATTCTTCCCGGAGGGAGCAGTGTGCCAAGCACCCCAGAGCCAAAGCCTGGCTGGACCGCCACGCCACCCCCGCCTGGCGCTTCTGGAACCCCGAGGGCCCAGGGCTGGAGGGCGGGGACACTGCTGTGTGCCATAGAGGGTCGGAGACCCACTCTGTGCCAGTGCCAGTGGGGCCTGGGTGGCCCGGGCCTCTCCCTCGCCCATTGTGTGGGATTTGTTTTTCTCGTTTTCCACCTGGGGAGCTCCATCCCCCCCCACTGTGTCAGGTCCCCAGCAGAGGGGCCCTGGTCCCCCATCCCCCGCTTGCCCAAGAGACAGCCGGGTGCCAGTGCCCCCGAGCGACCACCGCTGGCCCCCTCTGGTTATACTTGTATATTATACAGTCCTGATTTCAGATGGTTTCAACCTTAACCTATTTTAAAGAAGAATATTATATAAAAATACTGTTTTTAAACCTTTTGTCATTTGAAATGCATGTATTGTTGTGCGCGCTGGCGGACAGGCCCATTAGCTCAGTGCCAACCTCCCGGGGCCAAGGCTGCCATGTGGGGGCGGGGCGGGGGCGGGGCAGCAGGCTCCGCTCAGCGTGTCGGGGCCCTGACCCCTTAATCCAGAGAGAGCTGATGGAAATGGACTTTTCATATCTTTCTCCTGAAATGAATTCTGTTTTAAATTGGAATAAATTTTGTTCCTAAATGCTGTGGCCCCTCTGGCTTATTTCCCCTCACTGGCCATAGCAGGTGGGCGGCGGGCACTGCAGGGGCGCCCGAGCTCTGGAGGGTCTAGCCTGGTCCCCGCGCGGCCGGCTGCTGTGTGAGCTCCCGCCGCGGCGGCCGCAGCGGCCCTGGGATGTGCCTCCCGCCCTGGGCTCTGGCTCGGGCTCCAGGCCCCCTGCTCTGAGGTTCTGTGACTTGGCCCCGACTTCAGGTTCATTCGTCTGGACTGCGGGGCTGGAGCATCTGGCCAGATGAGCCTCCTGACTGGGGGTCGGGGACCGAGGAGACCGAGTCCTGGACATTCTGTATTTACTTCTGCAAACTGAGGAGGTTGGGTCCGTCTCTGCGATCTTCTCTCGGGCCCTTTTCCTTCTTAAAAAACGGTGAGTACGCATGACACAATTCACCACCTCAGCCGTCTCTAAGTGCAGTGCCCAGCGGCGGGAAGCACTCCCACACCCACACCCTCTGTCTCCAGAACCTTCCATCTCCCCTCACGGAGACTCTGTCCCCACGAAGCCCGGAATCCCCACCCCTGCCTTAGTCCTGGCTCCCACCGTCTCCTCTGTGTGCGAGTGGGACTCCTCTGGGGCCCTCCTGGGAGTGGGGTCCCGTGGGATGTGTCCTGTGTCCGGGTCCTCTCACTCAACAGTGTCCTCAGGTCCCTTTGTGTCGTCGCAGGTGCTTATCACCAGGGCTTAATCTATGTAGAAAAGTAGAGTAGGAGGGCAGGATGGGCAACAATGGTGACATGAGGACAGGGCATTCCAGGTAGAGGGCATAACCTGCAAAGGTCCTGGGGCAACATTGGGCTTACACAGCCAGGGGGCCTGTGTGTCTGGAGCAGAGTGAGCGAAGGGTAGAGAGGGAGGAGGGGAAGGCGGACGGAGAGGGCAGGAGCGGGTCGTGCAGAGCCTAGGGGACCACAGCGGGAGGACTTGGGCCCCAGGAGGTGGGAGCCTTGGAGGGGTGTGGGCAGAGCAGGCGTGGGGGAACATGACTCGGGAGCTCTTGGGCGCCCTCTGGTGGTCGCTGCGGGGAAGCCGGACAGGGGGCGAGGGCGGGAGCCGGGGATCCCGGGCGGAGGGTACCGCGCTGGTCCTGGAGGGCGCGGTGGGGGCTGACCCGGTGCAGGCAGAGGAGGAGGCAGGATCCGGGCAGTGGGCGGAGGGGAGGCGGAGGAGGCCCTGCCACGGCGTCCGCGCACCTGGACGTCACGCCCCCCGCGGCCGGCAGGCGCCGCTCGCCAGCCTCTGGCCTTCCCCGCCCACCTGCAGCCTGACCGCGTCTTTCCGGGGAGGGCCTCTCCTCCGCTCCAGCGGGGAAACCGAGGCACGGAGGGGCCAGTCGCCTGCCCTGATGGCGGGCCCGCGGTTGCGGGACTTGAGCACCAGCCGCGGCTGTCCCGCCCGGCGCAGGTAGGGGTTCAAGGGCCGCGCAGGGCCTTTGTCAAGCCATCAGGAGAATTTCAGGGCGGGAGGCCTGCAGAGCCGCGTTCCCACGCCCACGAAGCCTGCCCTGCCGGCCCGGGGACTGACACCTGGGCTGCTGGGAAGGATGCTTCCAGGAACACAGGTGTGCGAGAACCTGTCTTTGGGGTGTAAAACTAGCAGTGGGGCCCCTGGATGAAGACTTCTTGTCTCATCCAAAGAAACGATTCATCCACTAAAAACCTGGTATCCCAGCGTTGCCTCTGGGCCACCTCGGGCAGGGCATGACCTCAGCTGTGGCCAAGGGCAGGGTCCAGGGACGGACAGCAATGGCCCTCAGGGGCCATACACCCAGCATCGGAGGAGTGAGAGGTCCTTGGAAATGATGTAAATATCTCATTCCTCATTAAGCAGAAAAGACTCTTTCTTTTTTTTAAGATTTTATTTATTTATTTGACATGGAATCAGAGATCACAAGCAGGCAGAGGCAGGCAGAGAGAGAAGGGGAAGCATGCTCCCTGCTGAGCAGAGAGCCCGATGCGGGGCTCGCTCCCAGGACCCTGAGATCATGACCTGAGCTGAAGGCAGAGGCTTAACCCACTGAGCCACCCAGGCACCCCCAGAAAAGACATTTTAAAAAGATTATTTATTTGAGAGGGAGAGGGACCACAAGGTGGGGGGAGGGGCAGAAGGAGAGGGAGAGAGAATCCCAAGCGGACTCCCTACTGAGTGCAGAGTCCCATGTGGGCCTCGATTCCAGGACCCCGATATCATGACCTGAGCCGAAACCAAGAGTTGGCCGCCCAACCGAGCCACCCACGCGCCCCAAGCAGAAAGGACATTTTTAATACCAGAGAAGCAGCAAGGAGTATGTCGTCTATGAATAAAGGAGAGAGGGAGGGAGTAAGTACAGCCCATGAAAGCTCACCAGAGCCGGTGGGAGTGCAAATCGGTGCATGCACTTTGGCAAAAGATAGTATCTGGGAGGGGCACCTGGGGGGCTCAGTTGGTTAAGCAGCTGCCTTTGGCTCGGGTCATGATCCCAGCCTTCTGGGATCGAGTCTCACATGGAGCTCCTTGCTCGGCAGGGAGCCTGCTTCTCCCTCTGCCTCTGCCTACCACTCTGCCTGCCTGTGCTTGCTCTCTATATATCTGACAAATAAATTTTTAAAAAATCTTAAAAAAAAAAAAGATGGTATCTGGGAAATATCTCATAACCTCACCCTGCCACACATAGATATTTACCCCCAGAAAGTCAGATGGAGGACGGTCATCAGATGGTGTGTGCCAAGTGCCCACTGCTGGTTACTCAGGGCAGCCCCGAGCTGGAATTTAACCAGGAGGAAGGGGAGGAGGAGGAGGAAAAGAAGAAGTAGTATAGAAAGAGGTGGGGGGGGAGGAGAAGAGGAGGAAGAGGAGGAGGGAGAGGAAGAGGGGAAGGAGGAGGGAGAGGGAGGGGGAGAGAAAAGGGAGAGGAGAGGGAAGGGAGGGTGGAGGAGGGACAACAGGCAGGGCAGG